TTTACTATCTGTGGCTCATCTACACACCTGAAAGTAGAGGTAGCCCACAGCTTCACTAAGAAAATAGCCCCCTCTGCTAAATAGTTTATCTGGAACAGTTAGAAAATGACCTGTAATATTTAATTTTTTATTTGGTACAGTAAACTGTGTAACAATTTCGGATAAATGGAAATTTCTTAGAAGCAAAAGTACCACTGATCCAGGTACATTGATTTTGTAGGAATCATAAAAGTAACAAAAACGACTTTTAGAGCCACCATATGTCGACATCCTTTTTACAATATTAAGTCGACGGACTAAGAAAAGCATAGCTAGACCATCGATTGCTATAGAAGCAGAAGTAAGGAGATATGCAAGAGTTTTGAAAATGTACACTGGCAATCTAATGTTAGTACAATTAACAAACTTGTGTAATCTTTGAAAACGAGAATATTGGTGGAGGTGGTGGCAGTAATACCCGCATAGGGGTATTTTCTTGAATGGAAAATATTCAGCAATTTCTTACTGTGTAACAACTGAAGGAAGACTCATTTGTAGATGAACAATACACCTGTTTTAGTTAAAAATTTAACAACTACATATAACTAATTAAAAAAAACTGTTATACAAATTGAACGTGTCTGTCTCAGATAAATTATAAGATAAAAACACAAACCAACTATCTTTTGCAGCTTGCCTGCAAGAGTATATTCCTCTGGTAATATCTTTTAGTTAGAGCTTCTTTAATCTCACATTTCTTTGTTTTTATTTTATAGTTTCGTACCATATTTACAGCTGAAAAAATGCAAAATATAATATTAGATTTTTTAGCCTCCACGATTTTTATTACTTTACAAAAATAAAATGTTTTTTTATGGACATGGGACTGGCGAAAAATATAATATTAAGGTAAAATCATATGCACAGCTTTAGAAATAATTTAAAACCACTCACCTCTATTTCAAGATGCACTCACAATTATAACTTTACTTCAAAGAAGTTTCTTGTATATTATTTCTTCTACATTTGTGGCCTTTATTTAAAATCTCAAAATACCAAGATGTAGACTATTTAACTTTTTGGAAAAACGTGTTGCCTAACCTAGTAGTAATTGCATCAAAATGGCCGCGCCCTATGTTGGGCGTGTCGGACGTCTCTCTTGCACCGTATATGCCGCGTTGAATCCACATCGGATGCATATGAGATGTAGTACATCTTTGATCACGTGATTCAGTATACGTAAATGTAATGGGACAGATGTGTGCGATGTGGATAAAAAACGCTCGAGATGTAAAAAAATGCATCCGATGTGGATTCTCAAACGCGACAATTGTAATCAAAGTATGTGGTTATATCTGATTTTACCATTGAGTTACCATTAGTCTAAGGAGTTACCCATCTATTCACTTTCTCCTAATCTGACTATGACAAGACGAGTTATAAGGTGCGATCCATAGATAAATTAATTATTATTTTATCTATGGTGTGATCGTTTATTCGAGAGTTCGGAGCAGGACAGGAGTGGAGCTGATTTTAGGATTTTTTGCTTGTTTGTAGCTTTCTTCAGTGAAATGTTTTAAATATACATTTCACTGGTTTTCTTCTGGTGCTGAGGAGACAGTCCTTCTATATACTGTTTAGTATCCTTCCTCCATGCATGTGGTGCCAGAAGAATACCCGGCAGTACCAGCCTGAAGTACCTACCTAGGTTGCCACCTTTTCATTTCTTAAAACCCGGACATAATCGATAAATATTAGGGTTGCTAGATTTACGAACAAGAAAAGCAGGACAACGGTGACGACAGAGGATCTGGTTAAAAAACCAAGTAATTTTATAAGATCTGGGGTAGTATTCTCGAATCACGAATACCGACATTCGCATACGTGTTTTACAATGTGTCTCACTTTGTTGAGCGAAAACCAAGTGAGACAAATCATAAATCTCGCATGCGAATCTATATTCGTGACTCGAGAATACTACCCCAGGTCCTTTTTGTGAAATTTCTAAAAAGGTCCTCAGCTTATACTTTTATATGAACTATGCCTTAAATCATTTTTTTTTTAATTTCTAATATCTTTTTTTAGTTATGTATATTTATTTATTTTATGTATTCATTTATATATGGTCAATTCCATCGTTGTGTTAAACGAAGTTTAAAATACTAAACGAATATAAAAATGTCATTTTAATATTCGTGTTTAGTAATTTAAAGGGTATCTTCTTTAATTAGGTTCTTCACTACCGATATTGTCCAATGGAAGGGCTAGGTCCAAAAAGTATTTGGTTGGCTGCTAGTTAATCAGCAAAACGGTTACCTTTCAATGCGGAGTGACCATTGATCCATCTTAAGGTATCCAGATTGCTAATGGATACTTCAGCCAATGCTTTGTGACATTCTAGTACTAACCCTGAGTAAATTCGTGGTTTGGCCAGGGCAGTGTTGCCAACCCTTCTCATACAAAATTACCATATCAACGATCCAAAATTACCGTATTTTTCGTCCTATTACCGTACATTTTTTAAATAACATTATTTATGGGTATCTTTTTTTTCAAACTATAAAAATATATTATATTGTCTTTGTCATAATGCATTTGACACTAAATTTTTGCTGCACTAAAACATACCTAAAAATCTGATGTGTCCAACACATGACTTTCCTATCTAGTTATTATAGGCTTTTTCTGGTTATTTTGTATGACCGATTGCAGCACCTCTATAAATGTTTAGAGGATAAACTAAATATATACATTTTCCACATTCATCTACCTCGAAACATTTTTATATAGATATTCACTGAAAACGAAAATACTGAAAAATTTAAATTTAACACTTTTCCTACAATTTTTCCATTACAGCCCATTTTAGAAAAATCATGTATAAACAAAAATTATAGTGATCGATATCGCAAACAACTTTTAGTTTAACAATTTTCTTAAAAATCAGAATTTTGCACATTTTGTCAAATTTCTCGAATACGGACCATTTCAGGAAATTTTTACATATAGCAAAAATTATAGATAATATTAGAAGTAACTTTTATTTGAACAATTTTCTTCTCCAAACATAAATAACATATATTCCATAAAATATAAAAACGGCCTCCCATAAAGTACCCGCCAGATGCCGACTTTGTTCAAAATGTAATCATTTCACGTCAGGCCGATATAAAACTTAAGTTTAAAATTTAATGTTTTTTCTTTATCCGTTTTTGAGTTTTCTTCAAAATTCGAAATTTACACATTATCTCAAATATCTCGAATACGGTCCATTTTAGAGAAATTATATATAGAATAAAAATTATAGTGAATTATATTACAAACAACTTTTATTTGAACAATTTTTATAAAAAATTATTTTTTTTACATTTTGTAAAATTTCTCGAATACGGACCATTTCAGGAAAATTTTGTATAGAACAAAAATTATATTTGAAGAATTTTCTTTTCCAAGCGTAAATAACATAAATTCCATAAAATATAAAAATGACCACCTATAATGTACCCCCCCAAATGTTCCGACACACACGCGCGGGCCCGCGCGCACACACACATATTCATGCACACACATACACTACACCCACACAGACACACACACACACACAGGCGCACACACACATACACAGGCGCGCACACACACATACACAGGCGCGCACACACACACACAGGCGCACACACACATAGACACAGACACACACACACACACAGACACACACACACACACACACACACACACACACACACACACACACACACACACACACACACACACACACACAGAACACACACACAGAACACACACACACAGAACACACACACACAGAACACACACACACAGAACACACACACACAGAACACACACACACACACACACAGAACACACACACACAGAACACACACACACAGAACACACACACACAGAACACACACACACACACAGAACACACACACACACACAGAACACACACACATACATACACACACACACAGAACACACATACACAGAACACACACACACACAGAACACACACACACACACACACAGAACACACACACACAGAACACACACACACAGAACACACACACACAGAACACACACACACAGAACACACACACACACACAGAACACACACACACAGAACACACACACACACACAGAACACACACACACACACAGAACACACACACACACACACAGAACACACACACATACCCACACAGAACACACACACACACAGAACACACACACAGAACACACACACACAGAACACACACACACAGAACACACACACACACAGAGAACACACACACACAGAACACACACACACACACAGAACACACACAGAACACACACACAGAACACACACACACACAGAACACACGTCCTAGCCACACACACACAGAACACACGTCCTAGCCACACACACACACACACACAGAACACACGTCCTAGCCACACACACACACAGAACACACGTCCTAGCCACACACACGTAAAAATCCGTCGAAAACTCGAGGTCGAAAAAAATCATGATTCCTATACTTTCCTTATATCTGTATACAGATAGGAAAGTAAAAACAGCAAATAAGTAAATTTATAAAAATTGGAAAACTTTAGTTTTGACTTATAAAACTTTTAATACAAATAGAACATTTAAAAACAAAAAATGAAGGCACTTTTGCTTATCCCAAATCAGAAACAATAAAAACAACCTTTGTTTCTTGATAAGTTATAGTCGGCGTCCTAGCCAAGAACACAACTACAAGTTAACTCACAGTGTTAAGGAAAAAAAAAACATATTTATTTAGTACCATTACACATAAGTTACCTTTATTATTAAATGTATATACATTATTTTATGTGAAAATAAAAGTAATATATTCTGGAAAAATGGTCACTATGAAAATAATACTTTTATTCATCTAAAACTACTTGGATAAAAAATACAAATATATCTGAATTCACACATACATATGCTGCATTTGAATATCCATATCAGATGCACCTGAGATGTAAATCTTTGATCACTTGATTTAATATATGTAAATGTAGTAGAACAGATGTGTCCGATGTGAATAAACAAACGATAGAGATGTAAAAAATGCATCAGACGTGGATATTCAAAAGCAGTGATCGTGTGAAAAAAATATGGACATGGCGGCCAATTTGTGCCAGACTTTTTTTCAACTTTGTATCTAAAATAAATCTTCGAGTTTAAGTAAATTACAAGTTTTTAGTTTTATTGCTGTAATGGGTGATGTAAATGAGAAAACTGTTCTTTCCTAAATATAGCCTAAAACTGAGTGAAAAATTTAAATTTATTTTTGAATGCTATACTGACACAAGGAGAGAAATTACATGTTTTAGATCAGTGTAAATTTATAATTAAAAAGGTAAAGGCAAAACAAAAAATAATGAAAAATAAAGCTATTTAGCAAACAAACTACATACCTACTACTGATGAGTAAAAACAGGCAATTGACAAAGGGAGGAGTGATTATATTGGTCTCAAATCAATGTCAACATGAAAATTATTAAATATAAAGCAATAAACCTTTAAAATCATAATGATACAGTCAAAAGAATAATAGAAGAAATAAATATATTTTTAAAATTCAAAATAAACAATTTTGAAAATGATGTGTAGAAAGAACAAATTTAATCTTTATGAAATATTATTTTAATACAAAATTAGTTTCTTTTCTAATAAAGTCCATGATTCCAACCTTTCAAAGAATCTTAAGTGAACAATATTATTCCTATTACAACAAATAAACACAACATTTTTAACCCCACAAATCCTCAGATCTACCGAACTTGTAAATAATAGAAGCAATGAAGATTAATGCATTTTGCAGGAATAGGGCTACTCCTGACCATCTTTTGCCTACAAAAAAAATTATAAATTACGAAATAATCTCATAAATCTTCTGAGTGAATGACTAGTTTGAGTTCATCCCAAATTGTCTAAAAAGTTGTGTAGAAAATAGATGCATTTAGAAATCTATTCCAATTGAATTTTTATCTTGAGGGGAAATTTGTAGACGACAATATTTTGGAATTTTATAAATTTGCCGAATAAATATATTCATCAAGTTAATAATTTATTAAATAAGTCAATAGGTTAGCATATAGATAAAAGACTGTCATTCCATTTTACATGTGAATGTTTTAAATGTAAAAGTGCAACGTGATAATTGCTCCATACCTTAATAAGGTATTTTTAAAACTCAAAAATTATAAAAAGTAAAGTTCAACTAGTCTTTTACCATTCTTTGCTTTGTAAAACTACAAAACATTATTTCAAAATTAAGTAATATAAAAACTTACCTGCTTCCATGAAATCAGCAAATAATATCCAACAAGAAGCAATAACTGCAGCAAAACCCATTACGAACCCCAAGAATAACCAAATGCGAGTTCCACGAGAACCCATACATCCTCCTTCATATACATCACCTCTCATCTGGTAACAAATATTCAATTTTTTTTATTATCTCCAAAATTAAAGATAATAAAATTAACTACCCTATGTGAAATACTTTAAACCATTCAGGACGGCTGCTGGAAAGAGCATGTTTGGGAATTAAAATGTGAAAGTTCTCAGGGCTGGTACTCTGTGTCATGTAGAATTCTACTTATCGTTTTCTACAATAGAAATCGATTACTTTCTTTTGTGGCACTCTGTGTAACATAGCGGAAAACCAACGAGTATAAACTTACTACAGGATAGACTAGTTTAATAAGAAACCACATTGCGATATTTCCCGTGCGGTTGATGACGTATTCATCAGAGTCTTGTCGGTCACTATAGAAAAAGGTATTTTTCGTAGCATAAACCAACATGAACGTTTATGATAGAAGTTCGTATTGGTTTATGCCATAAAAAATACCTTATAGTATTGTGTTTTTTTATATCGAATTATTAATATTTTGTTTTTCAACAGTTTTTGAGTGAATAAACTTTTACAAATATTGTGTTTTTAAAATTTATTTTATTGAATATTTTGATATTTTTGCTAAAAAAAATTTTTTAAAACATATTTGAATAGATTTGGTCAGTTTTCTTAATAAAACATAGACATATATTTTCTAAATCATTTTGTCTGTTGTTTTAGATTGCAATGCCTGGGCAGATTTCCAGTTTTCAACTGGAATTCTTTTTTAAAAAATATTCGTAGGTAACATTTTAAAATTGGGGCCTGGATTAGTGGAGGTATTTTAAAAGAAAACTTTACCAAATGATGACAAATTTTTTTTCGAAAATTAAAAAAGTTATCACATGGAAACATTTATAATTAGTTTTACAAAAAAAAACGTTCTTTATAAAAAAATCTGCATCAATTAGAAATTCAAAACCATAAATCATTATTTTTATTTTACTTCACAAATTTTAATCTCAATTAATAATTTGTGACAGAACTATTTATCAAGAACTTTTTTCATAAAAATATTAAATAACAAATTTTTCCATGTATGACAGCTTAGATAATATTAAAGTTTATTTTGTAACAATAAATAGTGGTTAAACAATGTTTAATAAACAATAATATGCCATTTGTTTAAACTCAGTATTTATATTTTCATTATTATTAGGTATAGTTAAATGAATAGCACAAGAAGATAGGTAAACCTTTTCTTTTACTTAATTAAATTGGCACCATATTGTAAACTTTTTTATTATTTTATGAAAAAAAGTTATTCTTCATAAAAAGTTGTGCATAGTCTAAAAACTGAAATACGGACGTCTTATATCAAATTTTATCAGTCGTATATGAGGTTATAATAAATAAATAAAAAGTTATATCTGATGGTTGTATTTTGGGTTTTAGACAATGCAGAACCTTTTATAAAGAATAACTTTTTCCGTAAAATTAACAATAAAAAAGTTTCTCATATGGAGCCGACTTATACAATTGGGCGACACACTGTATATGTTGCGAAAAAATAAAATCTTTTATATTATAATATAATGTATCCTCTTCTTGTAATTACGTACTTACACGGGTACATATTTGCTTTTATAAAGCGGTAGAATAATTTTGTATCACCTCATATACATTATATAATATGGACTTATTCTTGTAATAAACTTGTTGTATTATTATTTTTATTTTATTAGTTTATTTTTTATACAAAAAAAGTTAAACGGCGTTGTTTCAAAAAAGGCGATGTATCTCTGTACATTTCAAATGGCCTGCGTCTGAAAGTGTTCAAACAGTGACATAAAGGCTTCGCCGCTATGGGTAACAAATCTGAGAACTGAGAACTGTAGTATATAGTCGTTGTCTCGTAATAATACAGAACAATTCCTTCACTTAAATCAGTTTAGCTGTAACTATTATGCTTTGGTAATGATTCTGTTCTATTTTTTAAATAATAAATAAATAAATAAATCTGTCTTCATGTTAAGTTAAATAAGGAAATTCATAAATACAAGACAGATAACATGATTTCAAAGCTGTCGATTTGAAACGATAGCGTTCTCTAAAATTGTAGAATTGAAACTATTGTTAATTTGACACAGAGTACCATTTTTACACTTCAATGTCGTTTCGTTGAATTCTACAATGCACAGAGTTCCAGCCCAGGCCTGCATGATGGAATCGGAAGTCGTGCCAGTACGACAGCCGTCCTAAATGGGTTAATCGAGTAAGGTCGTAGATCCCTGCATATACTTATAAAATCAAGACCATCTACCTGTGCATTTGATACAGAATTCACCATAATTAAGGATATAGTTCCAACTACTCCACACATATGATAACCTGCTAAAATGTTTCCGTGTACACTAGAAGCATCAATTACTGCCCACCAACCAGAGAAAAACTGAAATAAGAATATTTTTTTGTAAATTGCATGAATCATTATCATAATATTACCAATAGCCCTGCTAACATTGATGCATAAGCATTTCTCTTATCGCCTCCTTCAAACCAAATACAAGGAGGAATATTAATATTTTCAAAACAGTCTGTAATACCCATTGTACAAGTTGTACAAAAGTGAATTATATTCAAAATAATCTAGAAAGAATTTATAATTATTTCATTTATTACAAGTTGATTGACAAGTTGACAATGTCAACAATAAATGACAAAATTAACAAATGACAGGGGTAGGTTCCCATACTACCAAAGGCGAGTTCGGATAGTCAGGGCCAGGTGCTGGAGCGGGACAAAAGCGGAGTTTAGGGTGCTTTTAAATGACATTTAAGAGTGTTAAACTGTCAATAATCGGACTAAACCCAGGGCTGGTATATCTAAGGGGGTCGCGACATAGGAGTCCATTTTGGACGCCATTTTTTTCGAAATAGTAGTCGCCATTGATCTGGCAACGTAGCAACTTGTAGTCGCCAGGTTTACCAATATAAGAAAAAAAATCAATGTCATTTCTTAAATGACATTTCAATTATAAAATGCCCATATTTTTTACAATAAAATATTTCAATTTAATAAATTATTAATCTCAGATGTACATAAAATACGTCGGGAAAAGTAGATCACTTTCAATTTTGTGCTGTTTTAGTTTTGTTTATTTTAAAAAGTAATTGAAGAGATGAAGACAATTTTCTTATAGATGATGCATAACAAATTATTGCTCCCTTTTTTAGAGCTCCAGTCCCTTAAGTCTATTTATTTTAGGTCTTTTTAAATTGTTGGTAGGTATTATTCACTTCATTTGTATGTTTTTAGTTAATTTAAATAATTTTGTGTAATATCTTGCAATTTGTTTTCTATACATTTTAGCATGTATTTGTTGTCTACATCTCACAAAGGATGGCTTTGAAATACCTTTACAACAGAGGTACTTTCCTAAAACTGGCCGAAATTTGAAACTGAATACAGTTCTTAGAGAAAATCTCCAGTAAAAAATGCATGCAGACTAACAGTAGCATAGATTAACAAAGCTGACAAAAGAGTTGGACAAAACTTTGTCTAGCTTTTTTAATATTTCAGGACAATAGTGTTAACAGCAGACTACAACAAAAACATCCAAAGTTTAGTAATCAAGCAAAATATTCTGGTATCTCCAGAATTATAAACATATGAAAACTATAATAGAAAACATGTATGGTTTCGAATAGAAAATTACCAAAATTAGCATATCTAGTGAATATTGTATTTAAAGAATATATTTTTTTTCAAAACTTTTGTGCTTCTACTCCAATACTAACCATATAGAAGCATATGCATTTTATAGTATTTGCAAGATTCGGATCAAATGCGTACCCACAATTTATAAAGATTATTAAACTAAAATAAAACATTTCAAATAACACCTGCTTTTATGTTAAATATGTTTTTATTAAATACACAAATTAGTCTCAACCACACATTTTTTTTTGTTTTTACTTCTAGTGTAAAAGTGACTACTAATTCAGTCTTTCAAGTTTATTATTTATAGAGACCAGCTACTACAAAATATCTTATTGATGATAACTAATTTCTCTTTAATAATGGTTTTGCATTTATTAACATTTTACAGCACTTTGTTTATATGAAACATCTATGTAACTCTTAATTAAATCACATTTAAATCAAGTAATTACATTTTCATATTCAACTTATGTATTCTTATTAGAACTTGGTCACTTTTTTTACTTTGAATCTTTTGACTGTGGTAACAGTCCATTCACCAAACCACAAAGGCACTTAAAAATGTTGAAAGAGAATGTCATAAAGGTAAAATTCCTTCTTCTATCGTGTTTTTCATGCAATTTTAGGTTGTAAACGTTTTGTCCAACACCTTTTTTACAATTTATCCCAAGCAACACTATGAAAGATTTAAATCCTGGATTTACAGCATTCAGTTTCGAGATGAGTGCAGTCACAATGTAGTTTAAGATATAATTTTCACATGAACACTTATTTACCACAGCACAAACGCATGTACCTATTCATGTAACATTAAAATAAAGTGGAAACAAATTGCATAATTTGGTATATAAAAAAGTACAAAATGTTTTTAGTTTTAATTCGACATTGGACTACGAGGAAAACAGTGGTTCATTCCACTTGTACCATATTGACATTATTATGCACGATGCTCGTTCAAACGAACATCAGAAAAGTGTTGCCAACTTAAGCTGACTACTATTTCCCCCCTAGCCTCAGTCACCCCCTCATCCATTTACTGGGTCTATGTCGCGACCCCCTTAGATATACCAGCCCTGGACTAAACCCACATACTTATTGCTGCGTTTGAGAATCCACATCGGATGCATCTGAGATGTAAAAAATCTTTGATCACGTGGTTCAGTATACGTAAATGTAATGGGACAGATGTGTCCGATGTGGATAAAAAAACGCTCGAGATGTAAAAAATGCATCCGATGTGGATTCTCAAACGCAGCATATAATAGGTATACGGAGCAAGAGAGACGTCCGACCTGTTTAACATAGGGGCGGCCAGGGCTGGTATATCTAAGGGGGGTCGCGACATAGACCCAGTAAATGGATGAGGGGGTGACTGAGGCTAGGGGGGAAATAGTAGTCAGCTTAAGTTGGCAACACTTTTCTGATGTTCGTTTGAACGAGCATCGTGCATAATAATGTCAATATGGTACAAGTGGAATGAACCACTGTTTTCCTCGTAGTCCAATGTCGAATTAAAACTAAAAACATTTTGTACTTTTTTATATACCAAATTATGCAATTTGTTTCCACTTTATTTTAATGTTACATGAATAGGTACATGCGTTTGTGCTGTGGTAAATAAGTGTTCATGTGAAAATTATATCTTAAACTACATTGTGACTGCACTCATCTCGAAACTGAATGCTGTAAATCCAGGATTTAAATCTTTCATAGTGTTGCTTGGGATAAATTGTAAAAAAGGTGTTGGACAAAACGTTTACAACCTAAAATTGCATGAAAAACACGATAGAAGAAGGAATTTTACCTTTATGACATTCTCTTTCAACATTTTTAAGTGCCTTTGTGGTTTGGTGAATGGACTGTTACCACAGTCAAAAGATTCAAAGTAAAAAAAGTGACCAAGTTCTAATAAGAATACATAAGTTGAATATGAAAATGTAATTACTTGATTTAAATGTGATTTAATTAAGAGTTACATAGATGTTTCATATAAACAAAGTGCTGTAAAATGTTAATAAATGCAAAACCATTATTAAAGAGAAATTAGTTATCATCAATAAGATATTTTGTAGTAGCTGGTCTCTATAAATAATAAACTTGAAAGACTGAATTAGTAGTCACTTTTACACTAGAAGTAAAAACAAAAAAAAATGTGTGGTTGAGACTAATTTGTGTATTTAATAAAAACATATTTAACATAAAAGCAGGTGTTATTTGAAATGTTTTATTTTAGTTTAATAATCTTTATAAATTGTGGGTACGCATTTGATCCGAATCTTGCAAATACTATAAAATGCATATGCTTCTATATGGTTAGTATTGGAGTAGAAGCACAAAAGTTTTGAAAAAAAATATATTCTTTAAATACAATATTCACTAGATATGCTAATTTTGGTAATTTTCTATTCGAAACCATACATGTTTTCTATTATAGTTTTCATATGTTTATAATTCTGGAGATACCAGAATATTTTGCTTGATTACTAAACTTTGGATGTTTTTGTTGTAGTCTGCTGTTAACACTATTGTCCTGAAATATTAAAAAAGCTAGACAAAGTTTTGTCCAACTCTTTTGTCAGCTTTGTTAATCTATGCTACTGTTAGTCTGCATGCATTTTTTACTGGAGATTTTCTCTAAGAACTGTATTCAGTTTCAAATTTCGGCCAGTTTTAGGAAAGTACCTCTGTTGTAAAGGTATTTCAAAGCCATCCTTTGTGAGATGTAGACAACAAATACATGCTAAAATGTATAGAAAACAAATTGCAAGATATTACACAAAATTATTTAAATTAACTAAAAACATACAAATGAAGTGAATAATACCTACCAACAATTTAAAAAGACCTAAAATAAATAGACTTAAGGGACTGGAGCTCTAAAAAAGGGAGCAATAATTTGTTATGCATCATCTATAAGAAAATTGTCTTCATCTCTTCAATTACTTTTTAAAATAAACAAAACTAAAACAGCACAAAATTGAAAGTGATCTACTTTTCCCGACGTATTTTATGTACATCTGAGATTAATAATTTATTAAATTGAAATATTTTATTGTAAAAAATATGGGCATTTTATAATGGAAATGTCATTTAAGAAATGACATTGATTTTTTTTCTTATATTGGTAAACCTGGCGACTACAAGTTGCTACGTTGCCAGATCAATGGCGACTACTATTTCGAAAAAAATGGCGTCCAAAATGGACTCCTATGTCGCGACCCCCTTAGATATACCAGCCCTGGGGGCGGCCATTTTTATACAAGATTACTAGTACATAGGTGACCAGAAATACAGCAATATGAAAACTTGGTTGCAGATGTCTAGCTCTTTCCACTTTTAAATACATAATTTTGTACAGATTTTTTAAAAGAAACAATACAATATTATATTTGAATTAAATTTTTATTCTACAACAAATAAAAATATTTTAATGTTTAAAAATACATGTTAGGCTGATAAATAATAGGCCGACAAATAATAGATTAAATACCTAAATACTAATTTTAAATGACAAAAGTAGAGGAAGTTAAAAATATTAAATTTCCAGGATACTTTAAAATTAAATTGATGGTTGCATATTTGTTTTATTTTAAACAATTTACTTTCTTCTTGTATAATTTCTAAAAGCTACAAATTTTTAGTGAATGGGTCGTCCTTATTGATTCTGCAGTGAATTGTACTAACAACTTAAAAGAAATTTTGTCCAATCTCTATATGGCAGATAACCACAATAAGGAACGATCTGCTTGTTTTGGAACCCTAAAATAATATAAAGACACTGCTTTCATATCCTTTATTTTTGCTAAATCTTATTACTTGTGGAATGTAACATTTGAATCTATTGGCAACAGTCTTCTTATGTTCTTGCAAGATCTTACAAGACATCTTGAATAAAGCCCAGTATAGAGAACTTATACTGGGATTAAAGTCTATTCACAAATGTTAAAATAAATAAAACGTTTATACACTTACAAAATAATATCCACAATC